CTTCAAACAATATAGCTGGCGCTAGTAAGATTCCGCCGATGGGCGACTGCTAATAACCAATAATGTTTCCCAAGAATTGGACATCATACCATATCATTGGCTATCTTGAGGCGATTAATTCGAATATCGCTCCCAAAAACCTAGTTGAAAGGCGATGTGCATGGATTCTTGAACGACTCATAGTTGGGAGCTCTTGAAGAGTTCGCCATTAGCAATTAATGTGAATTTCCTGAAGTTTTCGACGGAGGCCATGTCTGCGAGTATCCCAAACAGCTCGTAGTGGCGAGAACATCATGACCTTGCTAGTGGCGATAGATGCGAATATCCCAAAGTGTTCGCCTGAGGGCATTCAACGTAATTGTTTGCGTGGGATATGTTCAAGGTCTCGCTAAGCTTATCATAGGTCTGAAAATATGAAGGAGATATAGCGCTCTCGGCGATCTCTCAAATGAGTTACAGAAAGCATCACAATATCCTTGAAGGATATCATCGAGATATCTTCAGGACCTCTTCGTGCTGCCTGGAGGGGTCTGCACGTTTGTTGAATCTACTTATACACCTTTGCACTTGAGCCACTGAAAGACTCTGAAGGATAGATTTCTTTCTGTTCTTTTCGGGCTTCGATTCAGTAATATGTCTGCACTCGTTTGATAAAGGGGTACAGAAAAATATGATTCAATCTTCTACACCACACGCTACGCGTCGGGAAACAGCACAACCTCGAGCCGAATTCTGATAGTTTTTTCCCATGTAATATACATTATTATATTTCATGACAGTGAAAACGACTATTCAATGATGAGAAGATATGGAATCTTGATGAGAGCAAAAATTGTCGATGTGAAATTTGAAGTTTCGAACTTTTAGTTTACCTGTGTTGCATTCAAATATATGTCGATTCAATCCTGTGTTTTTATTTAGAAAAATAGCCACCTTGGTGCTTGTTTAGTAATTCACATAACTGTGGAGTAAAATGGAGAGGAAAATACTTCCAGTTCTCTCTAGAAAACGGTGTTATTAGCTTATTTCCTAGACCTGGCACAACAAAAGTCATCAACAATGCACCCATATACATTTTTTGCGTGAGAAAGAAGGCTTTAATGAAAAATGATTTTCTGTAACCTGTCAACAGAGATGTAATGTCAAACTTCCAACTGTCACAAAAACAACATATTTTCGTGCAATATCGTACGTAAACAGCGTTCTTCTTTTCACAAGACACGAATCGCAACTTTGCAGCAGTTACCCATAGGCAACGGCCGCCAAATCAAACGCTACTTCCGAATTTCGCATTCCTAAACTGCGACAATATCAAGGTCATAATTCAGTGTCAAATCATGGTCAGGTCAGAATTCGTTTCGTCAAGAGCTGTCAAAATATTTTGTATTCATTCCAGATGTCATTTCAATTATTTGGTACAATGAAATTCTGACGATTGCAAGAAAAATTGTGTGGATACCATGGTCGCGAAACTTTTTGATGACCTCAAGATTATCTTGCCTTCGCGAAATGTGGACTCTGCGATAACTCTTCTTCTGAAAAGTGTCTCATGTTTTCTGTTCAGCTGTTTCACAACAAGAGTATCCTCACCCATCAAAGAGCATAAAATGAGATATTCGAAACACTCTACTTTTCGGGAAGCCTGTAGAGACATTCTGAACTGAACAGTTTTCTTGAAATTATACAGGGTATCCCAAAATTACTAAAGAGATTTCAATTCAACAAGAACAGTGAAACCTTTTTACATGAACATGGGTCCAGATCTTATCGCCTGTGGGGTTAATAGTCATCTGATAGGGACTCCCGAGAGATGTTTCTTGTGAATGAATTCGAAAACATCTGAGATAGAGAAAACAAAATTTGTGAAAGTACACTCGGCTTCAGTGAACATGTCGCGGTGATTGATTATGGATTTCTCGACTTCAACAGCTGATATCTCGAAAACGAAAAAAGATATTCGAAATTTGGAGAAAGTTACTCGAATAAGATGTCATTTTCTTCTGGAAAATTTGTTCTCTGCTTGATTTTATCATTTCATATACAGGGTATGTGAAAAAAAAAATTTTTTTCAAATGGAACCCCCTGTATATTATCGCATATTTCGAAAGAGCTATCTTTCCCGATTTTGAAAATATATACTTTCCATATATTCTATCGAGTGCTTGACGAAATATCAGCAGAATTAAATATTAATATTTGGTCCAAGTTAGCTATGGTTGAAATAGAATGAGATGATGAATAAGTGAATTGACATTTGGTCAACATTTCAGTGACATAAGTGCGCAAAATTTCGACAATTTTTTCACGATGCCATATCCACTGGAACAAAGAAGAGATATTTTGGAGTGCTATTTTTCAGTTAATAAAAATCTTGCTGAAACACTTCATAAGTTTATGAGGAGTTATCCAGGCAGGAGATTACCAAGTAAGAATTATGTAAAGTATTTGGCTGCTAAATTTGACAGAACTTCCAGTTTGTCGAATATCAAGAGAATAGTGAGAAGGCAAGACAACGAAGACGAGGAACTTCTTGTAATCCAGTATTTTGTTGAGGATCCTTCACGGTCAATAAGAAATGCAGTGAGAGAGTTTGGTTTCAGCTATTATTTTGTTCAACATACCTTAAGGAAATATGAATATAGGGATTTCAGAATTAGACCATGCCACAAACTCAATTATGATGATAATGAGAAGCGGATTGAATTTTGTCTTGTCATATCTGGAAGATTAAATAAAGTAAGTATAAGTGTAAGTGTTTCAGCAAGATTTTTATTAACTGAAAAATAGCACTCCAAAATATCTCTTCTTTGTTCCAGTGGATATGGCATCGTGAAAAAATTGTCGAAATTTTGCGCACTTATGTCACTGAAATGTTGACCAAATGTCAATTCACTTATTCATCATCTCATTCTATTTCAACCATAGCTAACTTGGACCAAATATTGATATTTAATTTTGCTGATATTTCGTCAAGCCCTCGATAGAATATATAAAAAGTATATCACGAACCCTGTATATGAAATGATAAAATCAAACGGAGAACACATTTTCTAGAAGGAAATGACATCTCATTCAAGTACCTGTTTCCAAATTTCAAATATCTTTTTTCGTTTTCGAGATATCAGCTGTTGAAGTCGAGAAATCCATAGTCAATCACCCTGTACGGTATGAGCGCTCTTACTGCAGCGGTGATTAACAGAGCTGACACCGTCCATGTGCGACATGTTCTCTGAATACGACTGTACCTTTTTATGCCTAATTCTGACGATTTTCCGAAATGATGATAAGGGGCGTAAGAAATAAGTGGACTTAGGGGCTTCTTCTTGTTGATGCAATTTTCGTCATTTTGACCAGAAAATTTGAAAATCTCAATATTTTTACTCGAAAATAGTAATGTTCAGTTTTGTTAGCATCAACTGTTATCGAAATGATTCGATTTTAAAATTCTCCTGTGTAATGAAAACAGTGCTATCAGAGGCGTAAGAAATAGGTGTAGCTAGGGCACTTTCTTGCCTATGCAATTTTTGGCAGTTTGACCAGGGAATAAATATCTCAACATTTTCACTGTTTAGTTTCGATATTATGAACTGTTTCCGAGAAGAACCAATTTTGAAATTCTCCGGCGTGATAAGAATAGTGCTCCTGCCTACATAGGGTACCTACCAAATCTTCTCAAGAATTATGACTTGATTGAAAATACCCCTCCTTTCAAGATCTGCCTTCGATGTTTGATTAAAAAAATATTGAAGGTGCAATGAAAATATCAAATTGAGAAATGATATGGGTTTCAATACCAGCCAGGCGAATCAGAATCGAACAAGACTCGGCAACAATTTTCGAATGGAGATCCAATAACTTGGTAGATTTCAATGCAGAACAAAACACAAGCATGCCTTTTCTCTAGGGAAGCGGATCTCACTGTGCCCAACATAAGCTTGTCAGGAGTGACCATACTCTTGAAGATATCCATTTCGATGCTTGGTATCACTATCAGCAATAACCTTTCTTGAAAATATCTCACGTGAGATCAATTGCTAAAAGTGCATCCCAAAAACTTGATTTTCTGTTCCGGGCCAGGAGCTATTTCACTTCCAGCCAGCTGCTTATGATCTATCAGACACAGATCCGACCTGTCCTAGAATACTGTTTCCATATTTGGAGTTTAGCACCCAAACATACCCTGAAACTGTTGGATTATGTTCAAAAAAGAGCAAGTCGTCTCGTGGGTGATGCCTCGCTCACAAATTTACTCACTTCTCTGGAACACCGTAGAAAAGTTGGCGATCTGGCTTTATTTTATAGATATTTCCATGGACAATGCTCTGCTGAAATATCAACAATTGTTCCTCCCTTGGCAGTCCTTAGGAACGCACGATGTTCTTTGAACATTATAGGGATTTCCTTTCGTGCGCTCCAAGCGATGAAGAAAATGAATTTAACGAACAGCGAGACTCTAGAACACATCGCCAAGGAAGGTGTTTCCCGAGGTATATAACCTCCAGAAATTCAAGAAGAACACCAATTCCTTCCTTATTTCCCTTGGTTCTCACGATGTTCTCTGAACATTACAGGATATCTCTTTTCGTGGGAACCAGAACATAAAGAAAAGGTTACCATCTAGAAGAAGTACCTACTGACTTCATCACGCAGTAGTCATTCGGAATAAATTTATCTCGAGAATGTTGAGTGCTATCGAAACTAAACGAGTTAACCATTTTTTAAATTAAGATTATAGTTCCATATTGCTTGGTCAAATTGCAAGAAATTACATAAACAAAGAACTTGAGGGCAAGAGTGCCCCTAAATATTTCAAAGAAACTGTTATCTTGGGCCCTTCATCAAATGGCTTTCAGCTTCCAAGGAAGCCATTTCTGGGCGCATGTTTCAATGAACTTTTTGAAGCTACAATGTGCTACTATTCTTGTTTCTAGGATCTGGGGTTTGAAATCATTCCTTGTAATTTCGTGACACCCAGTACTTGGTCATAGGATAGTCAGGGATAGGCATGCAGTAACCGTTCAATGACGAAATATAAAAATCGAGTTTATTCAATACATTACTTCAATAAAACTAATTCCAAGTGTTGAAACAGAATTAATTAGTTATCCTTGCTGGTACTTCGAAACAGATGACGTCTGTTCCTTTGCCATCTGTGAGGGCCCAGTGTACCACAGTCTTCAGCTGAAACAAAAATTGAAAATGTACAGGGTGTCTCTTCATATTGAGACGTCAATTATACCAGGTAGAAAAAAAACTTCAAATAGTTGTAAATCGCAAAATAGCCGAAAAAATCAAATCCGTTTTACATGATTAAACACCTTGTATATTCTCGACCGTTTTGGAAATGTTGTTTCTTCTCTTCACAAATATATATAGATTGCTGATGTTTCCTCAACCATTTGGTGTCTACTGATAACTATTCGGAAACAACACCTTGAACCAATTTTCACATTCACTCTCTTTTTGTCTTCCTTTTTCGTCTCATCATCTTCCATGAGGAGGAAGGTTCATCTCATTTTGGATAAGTATATAACGACACAGTAATATATATATGCATTTAAAATGAGAAAGAACTGCCACCAAAACATGTTACAATAGCAGTAGCATCAAAACGTAATGACCACAGATTTCAAGATTGCCAAAACTGTTAAATCGTATGATATCGTGACGTGAATGCTACTCGTGATATGATATTTGTTCCTAACGGATCAATCAAACATAGAAATATGCAAACTCCAAACGAATATGTCCGTTTGTCGGATTTTCGATCTTATGCTGCTACTCCTACGGAAGTGCGTATACAGGGTGATTCATTAAGAATAAGGAATCTCTGAACTACACATAGTAAACACAAAGATAATGAGATTAAGCCGAATATGGTTGTTGAGAATGTTGCTGGTTTAGGAGATACAGGGTGATCTAGGAGAAGATTTCATTTCAGAATGTCACAATAACTTTGTTAGTTTCAAAAGCATGATCATGAAATCTTGTATTTCTAGGTTTTCACATATGAGGAATATGAATTCACAACTTATTTTGTGATTTTTCATAGAGGTCAATAGTGGCACTTTATTAATTCGATAATTTTCATCATATCTTCTATGTAAATTTATTGATGATCAAAATGAGTAGAAAATCTGAAAGATCGTTCAATTTCACATGAAAAATTTACTATTTCCTAGCTTCAACGGTTTCTGTGTTATTCGCTCTTGAAGAGATTAATTATCCACTTATGACATTTCAATGATCATTTTTATTGAATTAGGAATGGGAAAACTCTGAACTACAGATAGTTATTACCCAAATATGAAGATTTAGCCCAACATGCCTGATGAATATATTATATATATATATTGGATCTTTCTTTTATTTTATTCAGACCAGGGAAGAGTCCCTCTTATCCTGATATCTATTATGGAACAAAATAAAAACGGTATTGAAGTTCGATGCGAACAGCCCTTCTGCCCCAAAAAAGTTTCATTCATTCTAAGAATTGAAAGAGATCGAACGGAAAAAATGAATATCAAAAACTTGAGAATAGTAAATTTGGTCATAATGTCGATATTTCCTCTAGTTTATGGACAATCTCGGTCTTCTGAACTTCGATTGATCACCTGGGTCATAATCAACTGCATTTCGAAGAAGCTGATTCTCATGAACCTCAGCTTTTTCGAAAGTCTTGATGTTTCGTTCTTTAATGACTGACACGATTGAAGGGAGTTTCAGATCCCTGGCGATCTGGTTATTCCGAACATACCAAGGAGATCCTGTCACCATTCTCGCGACTTTGTTTTGTAATGTTTGTAATCTGGTGATATGAGATTAAGATGTGTGGCCCCAGACTACTGAGGCATACAGTAAAATTGGCCTGATAGCCATGATATAAATATTCAATTTTTGTCTCAAACCCAATTTACTTCGCCTGTTTAGAAATGGATACAGGGCTCCAATGGCTCGTTTAGCTTTAGAAACTTGCTGAGAACGCCTGGGACTATTCAACTGTGCCAAAATATACGGGGTGTTCCATTAGAAAAAACATAATTGGCTGCCGTATCTTTTCAACGTCACCCTGTATAAAATTTCTGATGATGCCAATGGATTCCACGCATCATACTGTATAAATATACGTTTGAAATTTTTTGATACCTCTCACCGTAAAGTAGTCAGAAAATAAAATCGAAATCGGCAAATTTTCAATTTCTCCCTGTATCTCTAAAACGAATGAAGATATCGAAATTTTGATTGTGCCATTCGAGGTTTCTCCAAAATCGAACCCGGAACATGTATATCGGTTTTTCGATAACTCCTCTAGTTATTGAGATAGACGGCGAAAACGCCCAATTTTGCCCACCCTGTACCTATATGGCAACTCCACCTTTGGGACGCCCTGTCCTATCTTTCCTGATTGAATTATAACTTTGTAGGTTCAGAATTTCACCCTTCAAGTGAGTTTCCTGCACTAGAGCAATATCGACATTATTTTGAAATAGAAAATTTTCGAAATCTAGTTTTTCGCTTGAGAGTCATTAGCATTTCAGGTTACAATCTTCAATGCCTCTGGAATCATAATATTTATCTTCCTATAGCAGTATTGGCGTTGATACCGAGCGTCTCGGCAATACCTGTAAATTTACAGAATATCTCCTTTATCTGCTCCAAGGCAGTGAAGATGTCCCCTGGTTCGCTAGTGGATTTCAAAGCATTAGCGTAACTCCGACTTCCCGACTGATGTGAATTCTGAGAACTTGACTTGACCGGCCTTGAAGTCACATTACTTTTCCTTACAGGAAATGCCTCGCACCCCCTGAAGCTAGCAGGATGCGCGCCGCCACAGTTAGCACACTTGGCTTTAGTCGAGCTATCCTTCTGACAATTAGCTGTCAAATGATTACCGCTACATTTAACGCATCTCGGATCAGCAGAACATCTCGACTGTGCGTGTCCGAATTTTTGGCAGCGATGACACTGCCCTACCTGTGCCTTGGGTCTTTGGGGTTCTACCTTGATGGTCAAGCCAACCAACCTTGTTATATCATAAATTTCACGATTTTTCCCAGTTTTTGGCAACAGAACCAGGACTATAGGCATTGCAGTGCCATCTCGGCGCTTCATACGATGTACTGATGTGACTTCAAAGCCCCTCTCAGTCAACTCCTCTGATATATCATCCGGCTCGATGTGTTCCGAGACGTTCCTGAGTACAACTCTCAGTGATTTCTCGTCTGGCAACTGATAGGTATGAAACGGATACTTTTTATTATCTAAAAGTCGAGTGAGTGCCCTGAATGAATCAGGGCTGTCGCAGAAAACCTTGATACCTTCCGTTGTATTGACTGCTTTAAAATAGTTGATTTGCAGGGTTGGTAGCTCTTTGGAAAGACTTGTCCATTTAGTTTTATCTCTCAAAATGATAGGAGGAACTCTTACCTGGTGATTATCTACATTTTGATTAACAGATACATTATTTTTGTCTATTTTAGTAGGAATTGAATCTCGTAGACTACTACTTGAGGGCTTGTGTTGCGAATTCATTGGGACCTTTGATCCCTGTCGCTTCAACTGGACAGAATTCTGCTGAAATTGGGTCATTTGGGGCATTTGGGGCGATCTTGATCTTGATCCCAATTGTGAATTGAAGTAGGGACAGGAAATATATTGATGAAATAAACCTCTGGTGTACGCACTTCAATCCTTTCCTGTTTTACAATTCCTTGATTTTCGCCTACTTCGATGAACATAACATGGCGTGGGTGAATGTCGCTAAATTTAGTCTGGTGCCGTACCAAAATTACAGGCATCAATGTGACAATTGTGACCGAATTGTGACCAATGAAGATAGGGAATACATTTTGCGATTTAGCCGCATCAAGGTTGGTAGAACTGATGTTGATCATAAGTTCTGAGAATCACGCCATCTAACAATCGATATGTGAACCCCACGTCATCGTCTGAAATTCAATTGTTTATATCAAGAACCAGTCTGACGAAACAAATGAAGAGTGAGCGCACCAGAGCTTTATTTCATCAATGGAAATATCATCTCTGACATTTCTATCAGACAGTGATTTTCTTGCTCTGACGGACTTTTGTGAAGAGGATGAATATATTGCTGGTTTGAGAAATACAGGGTGGTTAAGGAGGAGATTTCATTTCAAAATATCATCTCAGCAATATTTTCATGAGGCATATTGAGCGAAATCTTTATTGGGTGTTCACTGTGTGTAGTTCAGGGATTTTCAATCCGTAATTCAATGAATGGAATCATCAAAATGTCATAATTGGAAGATAAATCTCTTCAAGAGCATATACAGTGTGTCCCACTTACCATGCTCACCATGGGTATGTTTTTCACGGTGAGAGATACGAGGTCGGTTAAATGACACCAAATGTGGAGTTTGTCAGGGCCAACTATAATGTGAAAAGATATTTTGATAAAATCTATTCGTTTTTGTTTTATACGCAAAAAACAGATTTTGATCATTTTCATGTCTCCTCCGTAACTTCTTAATTTATGAAAATATTCAAATAGGAATTCCACATTCTTATGGCAGTTTTTCAAAATGATTTCGAAAAAAATATGAAATTTATACCAACTCTTCTAATATTTGAGATATCAGCAACAACTTTAGTTTTTCAAATGTAGGTCATAGCTCACTATGACTTAGTTAAAAATAATTTTTTTTTCTCCTACAGATGATGTGTCGCAGTAATAGTTTTGTGTTGATAACAACAGAGTTATCGTCATTTATACAAAAGCAAAAAATGATTTGGATGCCGCCATCTTGAATTCATAAATTTCAACAAAAAAATTATGATCTCCGACTTCAAGACCCCCACTTACCAATTTTGAATGTAATCGGACCAAATCTTGTCCGCCATCTTGGAGCAGCCATTTTTTTTTAATTTCAACAAAAATTCCGTAATGAATTGTCACCGAAATTATAAACACCTGCCAAATTTCATGTTAATCGAAGTTATGGAATTTTCGCTAAAATTAAAAAAAAATGGCTGCTCCAAGATGGCGGACAAGATTTGGTCCGATTACAATTAAAATTGGTAAGTGGGGGTTTTTGAGGTCGGATATCATGATTTTTTCGTTAATATTTATGAATTCAAGATGGCAGCATCCAAATCATTTTTTGTTTTTGTATAAATGACGATAACTCCGTTGTTATCAACAC